GAGTATGAAGAGACGCCATCGCGCGCAAACAGCCAGAACCAACCTGACATTAACATAATTCAAATTAACCACAAATGAGTCCTCAAATACAACAATAAAGCAAAGAGAGGAGGTTTTTTCATGCCCCCCAATGCAATGAACAGCACATCAATGGAAGCAGAGAGCAGCGACGTGTGGCTCTTCTGCTGTATATTAGCCACGTGCTTTTAGCCTGCAGCCGCTCACCTTCAGAGGCACTGAATTACACCATAGCCATGTCAAAACAATTGGAATGCAAATCAAACACCTGGAGGTGACTTTGGTCTCTCGGGACCTCAGTAATCCACCCTCACCGGTTCTGTGGTTACCTTTTTTTTGTCGCTGTCGTTGAGTGAAATATTGATTTTAGCTCAGTATTTTGTAAATGTTTACCTCATGGGCATGAGAAAGGCCTGAGAGTCAAAACAAAAAAAGAGCTCATTTATCTCTATAATCTTTGGCAGAGGGAGGCCGGGTTTAAGCGGGATTTCTTTTAGCACCTCTGTTATAAAAGCCTGTAAAGGTACAGTAGAAGTCATCCAGGTAATATTAGAATGAATAAATGAGTATTACTGAGCAAAATCAGTCGGTAACGCATGGAAAAAAGAACATTTAGAACCAGTCTGAAGAAGATTCATCAAAAAGTTTTCTTTGTGAATATTTTGGTTTTGTTTTCAGGAGGATGCACATTAACATTTAACAATTTGTTTCACCTTAAACGTTGAAGAGAAAGGGCCAATTTAAAGCCAGACGTTAAATGAAGGCAGCACGGTGGCTCAGATGGTAGAGCTGCTGCCTCTTAGCGAGGATGCAAGTTCAAACCCCAGCTGAGGACCTGTCTAGTTTGCATGTTCTCTCCGTGCATGCGTGGGTTGTCTCGTTTGTCTCTATGTGTCCCAGTGATGGACTGGAGACCTGTCCAGGGTGTCCGCCGCCTCTCACACAGTGACTGCTGAATATGGACACCAGTGATCCCTGAGACCCCAAAAGGATGTAGCGAGTAAAGATAATGGATGGATGGAAGTTAAGTGAAATACCATAAATGATTTTTCTAAACATACTTTACATTATCTTGACTAAAACCATCCTTGTTGGGTGAGCCTCTGAGATAATTTGATTAATATAGACATGATAATTTCTTGAATTACTTTGAGTCTTTCTTTGAGCAGGCAAAATCATTTTAGCTTTAATAAAATGGTAAATTGTGCCAACCTTTTGTTTCATCTACATTAATTTGGATTAGTTAAATGGATAAACCGTTTAGGTAGACTGAATCTATAAGTCACTTAAACTTATTTCAAAACTCCTGGTCATTTGAAGAACATGAATCACTTTGATTGAACGAGAACATTACCGTATTTTTCGTCGTATAAGTCACACCTTTTTGCATAAATTTGCAAGTCCTGTGACTTATAGACTGAAGAGACTAATATAAGCCCCCCCCCCCCCCCCCCCATATTTATAACCCAATTTTTGGCTGAGATCTGACAATTACATTCATTCTGACATGGAAAATATTGAATACTAGCATTTTCAGCCACTAGAGGGTGCTTGACTAATTTGGCAAGCCAAGTGTCTCATTAATAGGTAAAAGTGGCTATTAATGAGACACTTGGCTTGCCGTACAAGCCACCTTTGTCTCGCTCTGGAACTCCTGGAGCAAACGTCAAATCAGCTGCATTTCGCCGCACCGCCCAGGAGAAATTCAGCTGATTTGACCATTAAAGTGCATTTATTAAGGAAAAGTTCAACAGAGACACACTTTTACTATAATGTCGAACAAACAAATAATTGTTTTTAGGTGGTTATCATGTTAAATTTTGAAGAAATGCACAACTAGTCCACCCTCTGCATGCTCTAGCAGCCGGAAATCGATTCTTGAAATGCAGATGATTTGACCGTCAAAGTGCATTTATTAAGGAAAAGTTAAACTGAGAAACACTTTTGCTATAATTTGGAGCAAACAAATACTGTAATTTCCGCCGTACTTGTTGCACCGCCCTATAAATCGCATCAGTCCAAATATGTCTAAAAAAGTGGATAAATCCATAAATACGTTGCTTCGCCTTATACATCGCATCTATTATGCGTCACCGCGGACACGTCGTGTTTGTTACACATCACCGCTGACAGCCCAGAAATGTGGACCGGTGTTGTGCCAAAAATCGATGGGATGCCAAATGGTGGCCACAGGAGCATGCACAGGAGGACTTTAGCAATAATTTAACAAGATTAACACTTAAAAACAATTATTTGTTTGCTCGAAATTATAGTAAAGGTGTGTCACAGTTGAACTTTTACTGAATAAATGCACTTTATTGTTCAAATTAGCTGCATTTCACCAGGGCGGTGCAGCTGGTTTGACTTGCTCCAAGCAGCAAGCAGAACGAAGGTGGGCAGACTGTGGTGGGTCGATTGTGTCATTAATAGCTGGTGAAGATTCTCAGTCATCCAGGACATGGTAAATTCAAAAAAAGTTCAAGACAAAAACAATAAAGTATAAAGTAAAGTATAATAAATAAAGTCCAATTGTTTTTGTATCAAACGTTTTTGAATTTGTCATTATAGCCACGTTTACCTATTACATGATACAACAGCATGCCTTACTACTACTACTACTACTGCTCTTCTGTCATCTAGTGGCTGAAAATGGTACTGTACAAATTTTTTTCTCAGTCAGAATAAATTCAAACGGTCATATCTCAGCCAAAAATTGGTTTCCAAATATGACAAAAAAATCCATAAATACGTCGCTTCAGCCTATAAGTTGCAGGTCATGTGAAATATGCAAAAAACGTGACTTATAGGCCAAAAAATATAGTAATTGTTTTTAAGCATTAATCTGGTTAAATTCTTGTTAAAGTCCTCCCCGTGCATGCTCCCGCGGCTGTCATTTGGCAGCCAGTCGATTTTTGGCACAACACAGGCTCACGTTTCTGGGTGGTCAGCGGTGCGCATCAGTGGTGAGGCATGATAGATGCGACTTATACGGTGAAGCGACGTATTTATGTTCTGTTTTTACTTTATTAGACATATTTGTACCGATGCGACTTATACAGCGGTGCGACATGTATGGCAGCAAGTATGGTACTTTAAACTAAAATCTCAATTTCAGTATAACTAATGTGGACTAATCAAACATGTCTGTTTTGATCAAATATAAAATCTTGTTTTCATATGTTGAATTTCACATATTAAAGTTTGAGAATAAAAAAATTGTTTGAAAACTTGGTTCTTTCCTGAGGAATATGTTGAGACTCTGCTTGAGCTTCAGTTGTGGACTGAGTTGTTCATAATATGTCTGCTTGTGTATTTTTGTTCGTATTGTTTTGCTTTAAATGAGTTTGAGATTTGTGTCACACTGTCTGATTTAAAGGTAATCTTGTGTTTTTGTACTTCAAATCCTTTTATATGGTCAACATAAATAAAAAAAATGTGTACAATAAATAACACATCTTAACAGTTCTTAGATAAATTCCTGAAAATAAAGATAATTTTTGTTATAAAATATATTTTGGAGTGTTTGGTTGGAATAACTGTCTTAACCTCTTCAAAACATGTAAAAATTATCTCAGATTCTGAGAAAACAATTGCTGCAGAAATTTGCCAAAATTTGTGTGGAGGGCATGGACAAAACATATAAATTATTTTAAAACATTTTACAGTAGTCCCTCGCTACTTTGCGATTCGACTTTCGTGGACTCGTTCTATCACGGTTTGTCAACGTACAGTAAGATTGTACAAAAAAAATGTACAATGTAGTACAGTACACGACACATGATTGTCAACTTTACAGTAATATTACTGTACTCACGTGGTTGGGAAAAAGTTACTAAATAAATTCGGACAGGCGCCGCCACTTTGTAGTTTTCTTTCAGTAAGCCTACACAGTAATCGCCACTCAAAAGGACTTCATTTCCCTGAAGTCAATATTGTACTGTATTGCCTCCGGCTGTTGTACACAACAGTATTTTTGTACGAACAGTATTTTTGCAAAGCGAAGTCATGACTGCTGAACCGGCTTTTCAAACGTAAGATTTTAATCATGTCACCTGGACAAGTTACTTTAAGATAATTAAACTTTACAAACAAGAGATTCACAAGAAAGAAATCATGTCTGGACATGGCTCTTTAAGAAATTGTGCTATGTAACCCGGGGGCTGATTGGCTGCACAGAACCAGGCCAGAACCAGACCCCCAGACTCAGCGGTGAACCCGAGAGCTCCTAGCCGGCCCACAAAGACTTCCAAACGGGGACATGCACCATAGGTCCGGCGCTCCCTCCGGAGCCCACCGCCACTACCCCGAGCCAGAGAGCCGACCAGAACCGGCAGGATAGGTCCACCGAAACAGAACCAAGTCGGACAGGAACCGAGAGCTGCTGCTGCTCTGAATAGCTAGTAAGTAAAATTTAGTAGCTACCGGTAAATATAAGTATGTTGTTTAAATTAGTAGGTTTAAGAGTTTAGAACATTGCAAAAGTGAGGGAAGGGTTTATAAAGCTTTAAATTTTTTATAAATACTAAAATAAATATAATGTTGCTACTTGGCAGATTTTCACATATTGCTGGGGGGAGGGGGTTGTCTGGAATGTAACCCCCGCAATAAACAAGGGACTACTGTATCTACACACCAGCCTGGTTGGCCTTTAATGCTAAATTGACAGGAATTTTCAGTTGATCTTTTCTGTAGTAAAGATATTTTATATATTTCAATTTTCATCCATTCATCCGTTTTTTACTTCTTCCTTTCTGGGTCGCAGGTTGGTGTCCACCTCCAGCAGTCACTGTGTGAGAAATCTCACTCACAACTAGAGGCGATTTAAGAGTTATTACGGTAAACAGCATCTTTGTGTTATCTTTGGTTTTATGCGCTTACGATACATCTGTAATAAAGTTTTCATCATGGCCTAAAAGGTCACTTTTAACATCAGGGTTTTTAGTTATTTTGGTACTCCCATCCCTTTCCCCACATCCTCTCACCCTGCTGACGGTGAAGACAAAACCGGGCCGCCCAGAGCAGACGCCCATGAAGCAGAAGCGCAGCTGCCAGTAGAACCAGTGTTCGCAGATGAACGTGATGAGGGACAGAGCCATGGCGGCGCCCAGCATGTAGAAGACGCCGGCCATGTTGTCCACGTCCAGCTGGCTGGACATCACCTCGTTCTTCTCGTGGTGGCAGATTCCCGTCAGCCACAGGGACTCCAGCTCCTCCATCTCACCTGGGAGGAGGACATGGGAGCAGATTAGAGGAAGGACAAAGGGAGATGGTAAGAGGAGCAACAGATGGTAGATAGGAGGACGCAGGCAGGGAGGTATGGAGAGAAGAGGATAGCTGTATTTTTATTTTTAAATAATTTAGTTTTGAAACGGGGTGTGAAACAGCAGGAGTGTATGTAAAATATAAAATAGAGAGGGAGGACATGATGTAATAACAGAAGGAGTTTTAGGGAGAGTTAAGGGATGGAGAGAATGATGCAATGGAAGAAAATAGTGGGTAAAAAAGGGGGTCAGGTTGGTTAACGTGAAACACGGCTGGATTGGACACTTTTCACAGCAGCCTGCGAAAGAGTTGCATACATATAGATCTTAAAAAATAATATCAAACTTCACTGTACTCTTCAGGTAACTGCCTGCGTGTGTCTGTTATCTAACACTGTCGGTCAGTTTCTGGTTTGTCACCCTCTGTTTCATCACAAACTGTTCTCTATCAAAGTTGACACAACAGGCATCTGTTAATTAATCATACATTCAGTCACAGTCGCTGCACTTCAGCTCTGGATGGCAACCGAGCAGCAACAAGCAAGTCGGCAGCAAACAACCTCGAGGGAGGCACATACAGTAAATACAGACACGATCAACCTCTGCTGCATATCTGCTGCTAAACTGAGAGAATAACTGCAGCCATCCTCCTGCTGTTGGTTCATGTCTGTGAGTCTTTTTTCCTATTCAAAGAGAAAATTATGTATTTATGAAAATGTTATTTTATTCTTCCTCGAGTGTTAGACGTCAGAAGCTGATGAGAGGAGGCAACGCTTGTCCTTGATTGGACTCAAATCCAAGCTGGTTTGAGTTCTACGCTAAAAATAGTAACTGCCAATCAGGGTAATAAAGTTTAAGTGAGGGAGAGATTAGCAAGATTATGTCACAAAAGCAGTGTTTGGGTTGATCGGAGTGTTATTTTCTTCACTAAATGTTCCTAAAAGCATTCATTTTCACCTGAACTGTCACTGAATTCACATGCGTTATGATGAAGATAGGAAACACACGTCTAACATACACCAGTAAGAACACTAAGAACATGCATGATGGTTTAGTTTTCTATTCATGGACTTTCAACAATCAGATCCCCTTTACACTGGATGTCTACCATGATAGTCCAATTCTTTCAGGTCCTTGGCGAGGTCTTCATGAAAGTCTACATTAGAGTTGTATAGTGATGTCATAATGGTTTATCAATGTGGGAACAGTGTATTGGGGTACTGGGTGGAACATGGTGAATCGTATCCAATGTGTAGGGCCTGCAGGAACTGGTGGAACTGGTCTTGGAAGCACTCCACCTAAGTTTTTGCAACTCCTGTCAGCACAGCTGATACGTGCATTGTGTTTCTGCTGCTGAGCCCCATGAGTGTGGGAATCAGAACAAAAAGTTGAATTTTGGGACATTTGTGAAATATTTTTTGCTCAGGCTTGAGTCAAACTACCCAGACTCCCATCCAGCCTTCATATTGAGCCACTGGGTATTTCGCATGAGCCGGATCTCTTTCTAGGCTACGAGGACCGGAGCGGATGGTGAGGCATTACAAAGTGACATTGAAATCCTATGAGGGCCACTTGGTTCCTGGTGCTTTCACAGTGGAACAGTGTGTCTGTGTGTGTGTTTGGGGGGGGGGGGGGGGACAGCAAGCTGACCCACATTTATCTGTAAATGGACACATGAATGAACCTCAAAGTTTGAAAGAATATTCAGTTTAATATAAAGCTAAGCAAACTGATTATCAACATATAAGACGCAACATGCAACTAGATTATAAGTAGGTTGATAAAAATAAACCTGTGGCACAAAAAATATCAGAATACACTCCTGCTTTATCACTCCAACACACACATACACACAACCTCGCTTACACACATAGGCATTCTCATTTTCAGAGGCCTGACCCACATTCACATAGGCATACACACATGCACACTAACCCACACCCTCAAAACGCACAGTGTCAGAATACACCAGGAGCGATACTGGAGCCCCTAACTGGGACACAATATAGTGGGCCTCCGGAGGGCCCTTGTTTCAGGACGCTCACAATATATGGACCATGTACAAATATGTAAGTTTACACAAACACACTGAGACCTTAAAACAGATTATACTGTGTAGTTTTAATACTGTTGGACCTAACAGCTGCCTTCAACACAGTGGACCATCAGATTCTCTTGTCTCGCCTGGAGAACTGGGTGGGCATTCAGTGTTCTGCTCTGCAATCGTTTAGATCCTGTTTAACAGAGCGGTCTATATGTGTGTCAGAGTTGTTGAGTCCTCTTAGCACCTCTCACATGTGGAGTACCTTAAGGCTCTATACTTGGCCCTCTTCTTTTTTCCTTTATTTTCTCCCTCTAGGATCTATTCTCCAGAAACATGGTGTTGCTTGACATTTTTATGCAGATGACAGCCAAATTTATATCCCATTAAAACAAGATAAACAGTACTCCGTGAACTAACTCCCAGAATGTATAGCAGAAGTCAAAGCATGGATGTCGCAGAATATTTTACATGTTAATGCGCAAAAGACCGAGGTCTTGTTGTTTAAGCCCAGTTCAGACAGTTCCAAAGTTGATGCTGATCAGGGTCCTTTAACACAACATCTCACTCAGACAGCAACTAACCTGGGTCTGATGCTGGACAATGATTTTAAAATCGATGCTCAGATTAAATCAGTGATCAAGTCCAGCTTTTATCATCTGAGACAACTGGCCAAGGTCAAACCATTTATTTCAAAATATCATTTTGAGATTTTAATCCATACTTTCATCACAACTCATTTAGATTACTGTAAAGCACTTTATGTCGGTCTGAGCCAGTTATTACTGACTCGACTTCAGCTGGTTCAGAATGCTGCTGCTCGTCTTTTAACTGGTACCAGAAAACAAGAGCATATCACTCCTGTTTTAGAATCACTACATTGGCTCCCAGTTCGTTTCTGGATTAATTTTAAGGTTCTTTTATTTGTTTTCAAATGTCTTCATGGTCTCGCCCCACAGTATCTGTCCGACCTGCTCCAGCTTTACGTCCCCTCACGCTCTCAGCTCAGATCACTTGCTGCTGATCATTCCAAAATCAAAGAGGAGGCTGGGAGGTGACCGAGCGTTCTCCGTCACTGCTTCTAAACTGTGGAACGAACTACTATCGCACGCCAGACAACCGGACTCACTTCCTGTTTTTAAATCTATTCTTAAAACATATTTTTTCCTTCTTGGCTTTTCACTCTGCATGAGATGTTGGCTTTTAATGTTTTCTGTTGTTTTTATTGCTCTATTGTAAGTTGTTTTTATGATTTTAATGATTCATTATTTTTAATGTTACAATTGATTTCATAGTTTTTTATGTTTGCTTTTATGTGGTATGTGGTACAGCACTTCGGTCAATGATATTGTTTTTAAAGTGCTTTATAAATAAAGTTGTACTGTATTGCATTACAACGCTGTTATACTTCCCATGATGCACTGAGCTGAACATCAAAACAGACACTTTGAAGTTCAACAGCAACAGTTGATCTGTTTATGATGAGGACTTCCTGGTTGAAAACCATAAATCAAATGTTCTGCTGATTTCAACACTAGACGGACATTCAGAGGACCTTTCGTTTTATTTTATTACCACTCGTTTAGACACCCATTACTGCTGCAGCTAGAGCTGGGAGGAAGTACATTCTGAAAGCACAAACCCTGGAGAGACTGGTCAAAATCTCATAAAAAGCAAGTGAGACCATAAAGCAGAGCCTCCCCACAGTGGAGCTAAATTCTCATTTATATTCCTGGTTTTACAGTCGGCTTTATACGTTCCCTCCCCCGCCATAAATTTATATTTGACTTGTAATTAGTGACAAATATCTTACAATCAGATAAAATGTAAATGAAACACAAGCTCTTACTGTTTGGGAAATATATTTTCTACACAGTTAAAATACTGTACCAAAAACAACTGTGACTCAAAGTACTTAAACATATAGTAGGTTTAAAATGAACAAGAAATACCTTTTTATTTGGATAGATTAACCTCTAAGTTTCAACTCATAAAATAGTTTCATAAGAACAACACACTTTTTCTGGATCAAGTCAGCTCAAATAAGGCTCAGACCTGATGGTGAATTCTTATTTTCTTATAATTAGGTTGAGCAGATTCAAAGAAGGTGGCCATGCACGTTCAGAAGGTAATTATGATGCTTGCAGAAGCAAAAATAAATTAATGTCCACAGTGGTGAACCATAATCTGTTCAAACAATGTGAACAAAAAAATCATCATGATCCAAGTGCAGACTGATGCTTTTGTCAAAATAATCTAATTTTAAAATACACAAGCAAAACAAGCAAACAAATAAAAAACACACACATACATAAAGAAGTCGTCTGTGGTGCAGTGGTAAAGGTCCAAGCATCCGTGGTATTCAAGTGAAACTGAACCAGTTGTTGATTCACTACTGCCTGGGTCGATCTGAATCCAGACGTATTAAAGGGATAGTACAGAGTTTTTATTTGTTTTGAAAGGGGTCAGTTTACTTCAGGAACATTTCTGACAAACAAACTAAGCTAAAATGAATTTGGCTACCAAATTAATTTACTTCCTGCCCTTAAAACAACCCAGTCCTTTAAAGATCATAGCACATTATAGATCATCCAGGTGAACCTGGAGGTTCTTACACCACCTGAGTTTTGCTTCTGTCATTTGTTTACTTTCTCAGAAATGTCAAAACTGATTTTTTTTTGTACCGACACTTAATTGTACAACCACCTGGAGCAGAAGGACTCCTATGTATGTTCTTTGTGGATTTTACATCTGCCTTCAACACCATGATTCCCAAGACCCTGATGGACAAACTACTCACACTAGGACTGAGCCCTTCCATTTGCAACTGGGTCCTGGACTTCTTAACAAACAGACCACAGTCAGTGAGGATCCACAACTTCTCTTCCTCCACCATAACCCTCAGCATTGGCTCCCCTCAGGGCTGTGTGTTCAGCCCCCTCCTATTCACTCTACTCAGACTGTGCACCTACCCATCCAGGCTGTCATATTGTAAAGTTTGCAGATGATACAGCGGTGATTGGATGCATCACAAACAACGATGAGTCCAGCTACAGGCAGGAGGTGAAACACCTGGAGAGCTGGTACAAGAACAACCTTCACATCAATGTGAAGAAGACGAAGGAGATGGTCATGAACTTCAGAAGGAACAAACATGTGATTTATATGTGCTGCTGATTATCCATGCTGCTGATTATCTCATGCTACTGTATTCATTCATATCCATCTGCTCACCACGGACTTGTGTTCAGGCTGCTGTTGTTACGCTGTAATTTTACATTATTAGTGTTTAGCGTATGTCTTAGCTCTTTTGGCGTTCGTTTAGCATACATCTTAGTGTATACTGTATCTTAGATCTTTATATACTGTTTCTTTTTACACTTTATAGTTTTGCTATTGTTGAGTGTAACTGGGACCTTGTGATAATTTTGTTCCACCTCATGTACCACACGTGATGAGAATGACAATAACATTTACTTGACTTGTACCCACAGAAGATGTCTGATGACTGTGACGACCACACTTTTCTACAAAAAAAAAAGGGTAGGAAAAAAAATCAAAAAATAAAACTGATCTCAGCTTTATTGAAATTGATTAAGAATGTCAAAGTATATACATGAGTTTTTACTAAATGTTTACCTCTAAATTTGTTTTTAAAGAGTTTTTAACAATAAAACCAAAATTGCTGAAACGCAAAGGTTGCCAATTTATACAGGACTGTTGACATGAGCAAGAAGAAGAGCCTCAATTTGCTTCTGAACGTAATTATACGTGAGATCGCTCGTGATCTGTTAGTGCTTGAAGTTCTCATTTTTGTGGAACACTTTAGCCAACAGAAAAGTAGCCGTGGCAGCCATCTTGAATTGGGTTGACTGGAGCAGGTAATCAGATGTACAGTAGATGCACACTCAGTGCTTACTTTCTGTGTTTCATTGAAATCTATTCACTGGCTCGTGAGATATTTTACTAACACCGCAAACAAACGCACACACTTACAGGAGGAAACACTTTTGCCTTGGCTGGCTGGTGATAAGATTCAGTTTGATTCGCCTTTCATGTTTTTTAGAGGTCAGTAAGAAATTTACCGCCAGTATTTACTAAAATACCGCTTCAGTTCGAACAGTTTCTAATGCACTTCCAGTGATTAAACAGTTAATCACGTCAGCACACTGTGCAACATCTATGATTAAAACAGTGCAGAAAGCAGCTCTCTGCCTCACCGTCTCCAAAGAGCTGCAGGATGGCCAGGTCCACGTGTCTCTTCCAGAGCGACTCCTTCTGAATGGCGATGCCGTACCCCGTGGTGGCAAAGATGTAGCCGCTGCCGATGGTCACCAGCTTACAGCCCTCGTCCCTGCCGGCCATGTAGTTCAGTACGGCAGCGTCATAGATGAAAGCATCTAATTTGCTAAAGGAAAAAAAAAGAGGCAGAAAAGGAGGGAGATAGATGGGTTACAATTAATTAGCACTTAGAAGTCAGACGCCACAGCTACAACATTCCAATTAACCTGCTAAATAGCACTAAGCCGCTGATAAGAGTAATCGACTTCCACTTGGTTTACCAAAGGCTGGAGCCGGCACGCACATTTTGTGAAAACTGGAGAGGGGGAGGGAGATTATTATTGGGGTTACTCAGCTGCTATGTGTTTATATGAAAAAGGAAATAAAAACAGGAAAGGGATTCATATTTTCAGCATGCTGTTCACTTTCTGTGTGCTGCTTTTATTTATTTATATTTACGCTCTTCATTCGACACATTATAAAAATGAAAATGTTTAAGTAAATATCGATCTATCTGTGTTTAAGAGTTTCAGACCTTAATGTTAATTTTCAGTGTGTTGGCTAATTCAGACTGGCCTCACAGAGTTCTGATCTACTGAAGTCAGGTTCTGTGGAAAGACCATAAACGGTCTGGATAATAGTTCGGTTGAGACAAAGAGGCTTACTGCCATCTCAAAAGTTTTGTTGGTTCATGTAAATATTATTTTATAAGCCTTTACCCTGCCATCATTTTGGCACTTTATAATTGTTTATGCAGATTGCTGTAGGCTTTTGCAAGAACCAAAAGTGGAGCACTTCCAACAGGAAGATCACCATATTTCAGCCAGAAAAAGCCTGTAATGTGAAGCTGATGTTGATGTAAAGGTCTATGAAACAGACAGCTCTGCTCAGACAAGCCATCAGCTCATCAGTCAGGTCTGAGCGACGTCACGTCCAGAGTGGGTTGTTTCAGCTGTCTTATAAAAAGACTTTCTCAAAAATGTCTTGCTGTCAATTTAGAATTTCTTTTCTTTTAAAATAAATACATTCTGGTATCCAAGCTGAATGTGCTACAGGCTGCATGGGAAGTGCTACAGCCAGTTGCTGCTGCTATTTGCACTAGCAAAAAACATGTATCAAAAATGTACAAAGCATCAAGATTTATCATATAATGTTTATATGAACTCCTATTAAATTGGAGTTGTGGACAAAAAAAACCCCACTTTGGTCTTCACCCCTTCTTGAACTAAAGTAGCCATTAGCTCATGATCTCCGTTTGGTTTATTTGTCATATGCAGAATCAACACAAGGTCAAGTAATGCAGTGAAATGCTGAGGACGAGAAGAAACGTCTCGACTCACCAACAAAAACCAACAACAACAAGAAATACCAAAGCATGCAACAAAAATATAGTAGTCCCTCCCTACTTCGCGGTTCATTTTTCGTGGACTCGCTTTATCGCAGTTTTTCAAAATAAGATTGGACATATGACACAATTGGCTGACTGATGGATGAGCTGCACGATCGGCATGGAATTTTAATTTAAAATAAATTATTTACAATCATTTAGCACCTGCTGCACCTACTGTATGTGCAGCCTCCTCCCTCCTCTGTCGATCTCCACTCTGCAGCGGAGAGTATACTGTATATATATATATATATATTTATATACTAAAATAAACTACTACTTACTACTATTCCTACTTGGCAGTTTTTCCACTTATCGCGGGGCTTCAGAGTACGGATCCCCCACTATAAATGAGGGACTACTGTACAAAAACAAGGCACACTTAAATTAAATTTCTCTATAATATGGTATCTAAAACAGGTTAAATGCTATCTGTTCACGGCCTTTCCACAGAACCACGCATCAAAAGGTATGAGTAGTTGTTTATTTTAGTTTATCTCAGATTTATTTCTCCTTGTGGTTTATATTTTCTGCTTCTTGTGTTTTGGTTGCCAGTTCTCATCTTCACCCTCAGTCAGCCTCAGCAGTTATTCAGTCAGCTTACCACTCACACCTGTTCCCCATAATGAATCATCCAGGTGCTGTCACTTGTCACTCAACTCCACTTTCTATTTAAACCATTCCTGATCACCAGCCCAGCGGCGGCTCATTGTCTTGGATACCTGCCACATGTCTCAGTCCACTCTCTTGTGCTCCTTGTGTTTTTGTAAGTTGCTGCTGCCACGTCAACCTTTTGTTTTTGTTTATTTAATAAGTTTTCTTTTACTCAAGGTCCTCGTGTCTGCCTGCATCTGGGTCCAAACACTCCACCAACCGTGATAATATCCCGGAGGCACAAACTTGTAAATATTCAATGTCAGTATCATAGAAAGTAACATTTCCTCCACATGGCCACTAAAAAGACAGAAAAAACGGAGAATCTTTATCCAACAAAACACGTATACTCAACAGTCACCCCTGTGGCTCTTGGTTATAAATCTTCCATTTTTACCTTTCTTGTTACCGGCCCATCATATCCCTGCAATGGGACTTCAGTGGGTCCTTCAGCTGCTTTAACTGAGCAGAGAATCTGTGCTCACTATAGCTGCTCACTGACTTCACATTGTCTATCTGGTCTCAGGATGTCATTTCCCAGAGTGAAAGTTGGAAATGCGCTCCTTGTTCCTCCGGTTGATGGAAAAAGTTTTATGCTTAGTTTTAAAGGGCTTCTAAAATACACTAAATGGAGCACTTTCATCAGGAAGCTCCTTACCCGGCCTTCAGACTCTGCAGAGCTTCGTTGACGTTCCTCTGATGGAACTTGGTCATGTAGGAGTGCATTTCTGGATAGTTGTTCCGAATATTTCTCTCAGTGCTTCCGTTGGGGACCGTGCCAAACCGGAACGGAGGTGAAAAATCATTGGGGCTTTGGAACTAATCGTAGAAAAGAGAAGCGCAGAAAGAAAATTGAAAATATTAAAGAAGCAAAATCTTTAAGTGGCCTTTTAACGTACAAATAAGCAAAAGCTTCGGTCTTACCTTTTTGTCCGAGAGACCAGTCACCTGGTCCACGTATTCCTCCTGGATCATGAAAGCAGCCAGGTTGGCAGTGTAAGAGGCCAGGAAAATGACAGCGAAGAAGGCCCACACTGACACCATGATCTTACTGGTGGTGCCTTTGGGGTTCTGAACGGGCACAGAGTTGTTGAAAACCAAACCCCACAGCAGCCAGATGGCCTTACCGATGGTGAACGATGGACCGTGAGGCTCTGAAACAAAGAATATAATCCACCTCAGCAGCTAGTCCACCAATACAGAGCAGCTGGTAAGTGTACCCCACACCTCTGAGCACTAATGGTATATATCCTCACACACTGGTGAAATAAAAACACCAGTTTATCCTTTGTGATAAGCATTTGGTTCTAATGTTGGTGTGGGTGTGTGCGAGAAGAAAAGCATGAGTGTGCACACTCGTGGGTGTGTATTGTTGTATGGTGTTGTTATGCATGACTTTATTGAGCCAAACGATGCTCGGTAAAGTTTGCCAGAGAGTTGGTTTAGAGAATCCAGCGACAATTTTACATCCCGTTGAGCAGTCATTGATACGTTCCAACGTCCAACTCTTCGATCTGCACAATCCGTGGTACAGAACTCCCACGGTGCTACGAGCAGGAAAAAAAAAAACTACACAAGGAGGCGCACAGAGGAGCGGAGCGGTGAAGGGAGAAGTTCATCTCCAGAAGATGATGAAGGATGAGAGGAATGGAAAAAAAAAGATAACCATTGTCTATATATAGACACGTCAGAGACTTGTGGGAGACATTGATTCTCTCGCGCTCTCATCTTTTCAGATTGAAGGATCTAAGTCAGAACTAGCCTCGGTGTCAGAGCCAACACGTGACTTAGGGAGAAAGAGAAATGAATGCTTCATGGCATGTCCGATTTGCTGAAACTCTTTATCGAGATGAATACCCGCACGATAAAAAAGAGAGCAGGGAAGCGAGGAAGAGGAGGAGGAAATGAAGACGTTGGGTCAGCGAGGACGGCTGGTTTACATGTGGAGGCGGCCTGCAGTTTGTTTCTGTGTCTGTGCCTGACAGTGTTGGTGCAAAAAAATAAATATTCATTTGTGCACCACAGAGTGTGCATGTATTGTTAAAGAGAGAACGCTCCATCTGCAAAGCATCTGTACATGCTTGGAGCAAATGACTGGAGCCATTACTCATCTGATGGAGCCACTTGTTTTATTTATTTATTTATTTTGGCTTTAATGCCCCTACTTTTCTGACTAATCTTAAATTTGGTTATAGCTCTAGATTTTAATTGAATTCAATTATTTTTCTGCTCTACATCTAAAACATTAAGCACAGTTTTCCAGTTGAGATCTTATCATAAACGACAGAACCCCCCCCAAAAAAACTTTAGAATAAAAATCAAGCAGCAGATGTTTAAATATAAGCTTTTAAAGTGTCTAATGAGAAAAGTAAGTAAATCAAAGTCTTTATAAATTTGTTCCACTGGTTCAAACTGTCCTGGTAATCAGTCGTTACTGTTTGCTTGAGCTAAACTCTTGAGCATCAAGTAAAGCATATGTAGATTTCAAATAAATAAATAACACCTCTAAAAACTTTAGTAAAAGCAACACAACTGGATTAAGTGGTTATAAAAATTTCCAACAAAAAATGATTTTGTGCTATAAAATGTAAAAAAATAAAATCGTCAATAAGAAACAAACATTACATAATTACAAAAAGCTTATTTTCTACAGCCGCTCTGTAAGCACATTTGTTGATTGGAAAATAAAAATACAAACATCTGTACTTTTTTTTTTATCTAAGAGCTATCTAACCCCCCGATAATTTATTTAAACAAATAATTTTTGTTCATGAAAAAATGCCAGGCCACACATTTCTTCTAAAAACCACAGAAATACTCTTGCCCAATGCCAAAACTCCCATCTGCACATACAGTATTATAACCGCATGGTCAGTAAATGCATTTGTTTCATACATTTAGTTAAAATGTATTATTTGATGCTTTAAGAAAAGTGTCATATTACACTTTGAGTGATAATTTAACAGAATGTCATGAGTTGGTAAGGTGTGTAGGCGGTATGGTCCCAGTCCTGGTCCATAGCGCACAGAGTCTGGCTCCAAAAATCCAACATGGCAACAACAAAAAACATTTTGGTTTATAATGTTAGAAAGTGGACAACTGAAATTAATGGAGCAAATTCATCCATCTGTATTTGTGTCGTTCATGTCACATCACTAGGTGATGTGAACGTCTGAGACACACGATCCAGCTTTACTGACAAAAGGATGAGGATTTAAAAAAAAAAAAAAACGTCTTTGTTGTTTCAAGCACAAAGTAAAATAAACTGCTACATCATTATTTCTCAAAAACTCTAAACACAGAGCCCATAGCACACCAAATAAAAGGACTTTAAAATAATTATACTTTCAGAAACAGGGACGCTGCTAGAAAGTTTTGGTGGAGGGGGCCACATGGAGGCCACAGAAAGTCTTGGGGTAGCAACTCAAAACCAAAATCTATAACATTTCAGGTGTTTTATTATGTTGCATCCATATATAGGTTATTTAAAACAAACAAACAACAACAAAGAAACCCTGCAATTTGATGCGTCTAGTTTTATATTTCATTTTACGGTTACAAACTGAAAGTAGCAGAGTCACAACTCAACTTATTGACGCTTGTCCTTGTTTCTGTTAAATGTATATTTGTATATAAAACCTCAGGAGACTCTGCGTCCTGATATGAGGACATTATCTTTCTGTACCTTCATGTTTTCTTCTGGTCAGCTTACACCTTCTGTCTTAGTTCGGAGAGACTAGCATTTATCTTTCAATTAAACTTGAAACAATTTTTATCGACTAACTGTTCAAAATCAATGTTTTTAAGGTTATAAATATCATTGTTGTTTCTTTTCCAGCTGCTCCCTTCTGCAGGGGTCATCACAGCAATCAAACACATATTTATTTTAGTCTGGCTGCGCTTCCTGATGCAACCTGGACTTGAACCTGCAACCTCAGGATTACTGGACTGCAGCACTGACCACCGAGCCACAGCAGGGCATTCTACTAATCCCAAACAGTTGTGGTAAACTGAAAAAAATCCACTTTAAACAAAAGCTTGGAATTCAGGAAGATGGGGGGGGGGGGGGGGGGGTCAGTAAATTTATAAAGATGACTATTGACTATATACTTCAGTGGGTGCTCATACATTGTAGGATCAGTTTTAAGATTGTTTTATTTACTTTTAAATCTCTCAGTGGTCTTGCCCCATCCTACCTCTCCGAGCTGCTACAACCCTATGTGCTCTCAGGTCAGCTGATCAGCTGCTCCTGAGTGTTCCCAAAACAACGCTCAAGCTTAGAGGTGACCGTGCCTTCGCTGTCTTAAACTATGGAACGGTCTGCCTCTCCACATCAGACAGGCCTCCTCACTGCCTGTTTTTAAATCATATCTTATATCTTTTTTCCAAGGCTTTCGACACCATGTGGGATGTTGGTTTTATTATTGTTATTTATTTGATACTCCTTTTACTGTTTCAATTTTTATTGCATAGCTGCTTGTCTTTTTGATTATTATTATTATTTTCTTGCATTTTATTCCTTTTTGTGCTTTTTAACTTGTTTGTACAGCACTTTGGTCCTGTATGTCTTTTTGTTTTTTAACATACTTTGTAAATAAAGTTGAATTGGATTGGCCCCTGCCACCACCCCCCAGAGGCACCCCTGGTGGAAACTGGTTGTTAAGCTTCTTTTTTACTGACCAAAACCTCAGCTTGTAGTGAATCAAAGAAAGGATCTATTTAAAAATAATTAGATTACCATAGACGAGGCCTAAGAACCCAAATGACCTCTGAACGTTATTGCCATGAAAATAAGGAGCTGGTTCCATTTGCAAAAAATAATATGCAACAAGACCACAAGTGAAATAATGTGTCATCTGCATTAGAAATGAACCAGGCTCAATAAAACATCGCATCAGACAACCCTGTTGCACAATCCTCATTTGTTCAGCCCTTTTTTAATGAAAACTGGGAGCATCTTAATGTTGAATTTAGCAAATTTAAAAAAAAATCATTCACTGTTTTTAATGAAAATATTGCTTTCCACACATGCTGAAGAGGTCAATCTTTCTGCATTTAATTTCGCCTGCCTGCCATCTGTTGTTCTTTAGTCAGCATGAGGTAAACCAACAGAAGGCAACATAAACTGAAGATTGGGAGTGAAAGAATATGCATTTATTCCCATCTGTAATGGGAAACAGGACAAACCTACAGCAGGTCTCAGGCATGTGACTGTGAGAGTGGAGCTCGGGCCTCTCACCTTTGCCGTCAGCCAGACAGCGGTTGTAGCCCACAGGGCTGAAGTACTCAAACACAAACACAGCCACTGCTGACACCAGCAGCAGCATGACGAACATCATCACCCACACATCTGCGCTGAAGGGCTCTGGAGGGGGAGACGGGGGGAGGAGGAGAGGGAAAGATAAAGGCAGAAGAGGAGTTGAAGAAGGGAGCATGGACGGGCAGAGATGCAGACAGGAGAAGAGCGGAGGAAAGGGTTGTGAGGAGCAAGAAGATGGAGGAGGAAAACGACACGTGAGGAGGGAGGAAGAGTTTCCCTTGAGCAAGGTGGCAGAAAGAGAGAGGAAAGGAAGTGAGAGAAAAAAGAGGAAGGGAGGTATGCAAATGTGGTGTGTCAGATTCAGAAGAGGAAGGAAGCATTAGAGAGATGGAGTAGGAGTGGGAAACATAAGGGCAGAGAGGAAAAAACAAGCAGTTAGGCGTATTGTCATGCAGTTCATTGTAACTTCTCTTAATGCAAACGCACTGAAGCGTTGCTTTCACCACCTTACATCATTTCCTGTTCAACTTGTGAAGAAGGACAAATGAATGTCAACCTAAACCGACAGACTACAGATCTGTACGCCACGCTCAGTCTGTCAAGACACTGGTGGGAAAAAACAAAACATTCACATCTCACTGAAACAGCAAACCTTTTCTCCAAAGAATAAACTCAAAACAACAAAAATTAAAAGCATTTATTTGGTACATTTTGTCAATTTTAAGGGGGAATCATCGAAGAAATGGGTGTGAGCTCATAGCGGAGCAGCAACGAGATGTTTGGACTTTCACAACAGAAGCTGATGCGTTATTGTTACTCAATATTGATACATATTGATGAGGCATTAGCATAATTATGCTTAATTCAGCCTTTAGTTGTGAGTAATGGTTTTCATATCTCATCGTTTGAGTCATGATCGTGAGTTTTCTGGGTTATTTTTTGCTTAGTTTCTGGTCTAGTGTTCCTTTGTATTTTAGAAGGTTTATGGTTCAGTCCGTTTCTCGTCACCTCTGGTTGTCAGTCAGTATTTTTGCTGTGTATTGTCATCACTGTGTGTGCCCTTACAATGACAAAATATGTGTTCTACATCTGACTCATCCAAGTGGAGAATGGGCAGATATGTAAGCGCCCAGGGAGCAGGCAGGAAAGAGGTGTTTTGCTCAAGGACACCACGACATATGGACACAGTGGGGAATGTGGTCCTAAGGTCCCATTCTGGTCCCAAGTCCACTGCCCTACCACTGCACCACAGCCGCCCCTATACTCCCACCTGTCTGCACTTTGTGATTAGTCCACCTGTCCTCATTCAGGAGTCCCAGTACTTACACTTCTTGATCTTTTCAGTTCATTACCAGGTTTTCTTTGCATTAAATCATTTTAGCTTCTACTTGCTGCTTTCTCTAGATTCTCAAGTCTCAACCTATACAAACTGTTACAGACTGAACTTGGTAGTTACAATATTTGGAGTTTTTAATAAGAAAAATACCCTTAAGTCAAATTTCTAACTGATGCTATGTTCACACTGCAGGTTAAAGTGGCTTAAATACTTTTTTTTTTTTTCCCCCATTTCTGATGACAGTCTGAACATGAAAAATCCTTTTTTTTTTTCATCTGACCCAGGCCTTTTTCATATGCGGTACTAAATTATATACATAACCAGGGTTTTTCAAAGTGACCCCAGTCTGAACGATCATGTCACATTTCATCTGACTTTTATGTCATTGAGGCAGGGGTATCTGGATCAATACAGGTATTAATAATAATGGTCATACAGTTTAAATCTTGGAGCTGTGCACATCTTTATATATAAAACAGAAGTTCATTTTTTGTCATTTTTTAAAGTATCTTATGTCCTGGATGTCTGAGAATATACAGCAACATAAGACACCAAAAATTATGTCTGATCTCAAAGATACTAACATGATGGGATCAGCATTTGGGTGTGTTTCACTTTTGGTACATCACTTATGTGAAAACTACAAAGAGCAAAGTTTTCTGGTCTTCTAATTTGCAATTAAAAAGTACTCTAGTTGGGTGATTTCCCACTTATAAATCAGAGTTACAGTTTCCAAGACAGAATATTTTACCTGGTGATTAA